TGATCTATTTATCATTTATGCTGGACTAATAATTGTAGGTGGTGTTTAATTAAAATATGTGACGAAACAATTTTTTTTGACTAAATAATTAATAAACTGACTTAATAATTATTGAAAATGGTGGGAATCGAAAACCCAGTGAATAACACTGTAAATAGATTGTACCTTTAAAATAATTTATTTAAAACTTACTAATAATTTAACTTAATTAAAACTATTTAAACCTCCAAATTAAAAACAAAAAAAAATATTATTATTATTAAAAGTATAATAATTTAAATTTTTTAAAATACTAAACATAACAATCAATGAGTACAAAAATCAACTGTTCCATTTATTATTAATGTCAAGGATAGAAGGACTTGTGTTATTACCATGTTAATATCCTGATTAATACCGAAATAATCCATCAACATACACACCAAAATTGACAAAATCATGGTAATATCACGTGTCAATAAAACTCTTTTTATTTTTTTTCAAACACTTTTGAGTGCTTGAGACAAAATTTGTTTTTTAAACCATTTGTATTTTTTTACCAAAATAAAATTAAAAACAAATTATTTGTATATAATTTATTTTTTTTTGTAATAATTTAGAAAATCATTGAGAATAATTAGAAAAAGTAATCAAAAATCCAATACAAAGCGTGGTGCAAAACTGGAATAAAAAAGTAATCAAATGAAAAAACCCAATACTTGGTGAAATAACAGATCCATACAAGAATAAATATGTCAAAACCCATATTTTTAACATATTTGGAACTGTCTAATATAGATTCCCAATAAAATTTCCTCAAAAAAAGGAACTTCAAAATAAAAGAATGTCGACCGAGCAAGTAGCTTCACTTACTTTTGAATTTGAGACTATTGCAAAGAAGTTGGATTACCAAATCAACTTAACCAAGGCATACTCATCATTATTCACCCAGAGAGGACAGACGGAAATTGATTACGCCAAGCACCTTCTCCATCAGTGCGGAACTCCACTGAAAGTTGGGAACATTTTGATGAAGAGAGACGTTCCTCTTGATTTGCTTGAAACGACCGCCAAGGTTGCCTTGACCAGTTTTAATACAAACACGTTGAAAGTAGCTCAGAAACACAACGAAATGGGTGTCATCTTTATCGAACAAGCTTCAAAGCCTCTTGACAACTTGAGCCGAACAATGGAAGCCAACAGAAAGAGAATTGTTTCAGAGTTTTTGGCCCGTTTGAAAAATTCACAAACTTTGGCAAGAAATGCTGAGAGAGCTGAGGAACAATACAAGCGTGCAGTTGCTGAGCTTAAACAGGTCACTGCTCAACTTAACACTGCAATGACGCAGAACGTCGCAATGGTGGACAGACTTGTTGCTAAGAAACAACAAGTGGTAGCTCGTGTTCAACAAAGTGAAGCAGCTTATAAAGCCGCTGTTGAAAAGGCGAATGCTTATAATGAAGAGATGTATGGGGAACCAGTCAAAAAGATTATTGCCAACGCACTTGATTTGATGAAGTCGTACTTCACTGGTCTTAAAAACATATTTGATATTGTTGCCGCACAGTGCTCTGAGTTGTCACCCATTGTTGATGAGGCTTTCAAAACAATCAAGGAAGACGTCACGAAGATGGACTACGAACAAGACTTAAAACAGTTTGTCGACGCCAACGCAAACGTCCATAGCCAATGCGTCTTGGCAGTCCACTTAGACACAACCATCAACGAGAAGGCCGAAGATTCTGTTGTTGTGCCACAAGAAAAGAAAGTAGAAGCCCAACCAACTGAAGAGAAGAAAGAAGAAGTGCAGCCCGTTGAAAAGAAGGAAGAGGTGAAAGAAGAACAGAAACCTGTTGAAGAGAAGGCAGAAGACGCCAAACCAGAAGAAAAGAAGGAAGAGAACCCCGTCGAGGAGGACAACAAAGAAGATCTCCAAGAAATTGCGTAATTTAACTTCTTTTTTAAAGGTCTTGTGATGAATACAATTTGGTGTCAAAAAACTGTTAAACCATATGACGGGGGAAGGTGCTGATATCAACATCAGTGCAGTCATGTGGGATATTTTTGTTGTTGCGTCGATGGCAGGAACTTTTCTTATTTTTGTGTTTTCTGCAATGGGTAACTTCGTTGGGCAATGGCTAAATAAACGGAGAAAAGATAAGTTTTATCGACTCGCTGAACAACTCTCCACTTGATGAAAATTTTTTTCTACCACATGTTTCATGTGAAATGAAATAGTGGTGTTGTGTTGATCAATCAACATCTTTTTTCTTGTATGTTTATCGGTACTCTATTTGTTTTAATACTGTAATTTTATTTATAAAACAACCGATATAATAAAAATTTAAATACTTTTATTTTTTTCGAAATTAATAGTTTCGGTTGCAATAATAATTAATATCATTAAAATTCATAATTAATTGTTTTATTATAGTTTATATTTTTATTATAGAAATAAAAATACTATTATTAAATATAATTAATATACTATTAATATAATATAATTAATACCAGTTCCAAAGACAAGCAAAATGCCACATTGTTTTATTTTCTAATTTTTTGTTATTTTAATATTATTTTTTTATTTTTCTTTTGTATATTTCATAAGGATTTATAGATTTTATTTTAGTTATGTCCGTTTTGGCTACAATCTACATAAAAAAATAATCAATGTAATCTTTGCAATTTTTTATACAATATATTATTTTATTTTTTTTCGTTCAAAAAATCGCTTTGTATGGCAAGGATTATTCACATTCTTCATATGCACATAGAACTCCTAAGATATAGAATTGGTCGACTATATATTTTTTAAGAATATTTTTTCGTTCATTATTTATTTAAATAAGTCGTTCATCTTGAAATTTCCAATGCTCTCATCTTCCTCTTCATCAATCCCAACACCCTTGGTTGATGCTCCCGAACAAGAGGTAGTACAACGCAAGACAGAGGAACTTGTTATGACCCCAGAAAACAGTCCACTTCTCAAGCGTTCCAAAAACAATTTTTGCATACAGAGACAGGTCTCAGGATATCACTTTGAGGCGGATTCACCTGTCAAACCAGTTGTTCAAAACACTCTTCACTTCACAAGATATACTGGAGCGCATGATCCTTTGCTCATTGCAAATGGTTCCAAAGTTGTTATTGACATTGGAACACTTGAAACCAAAGTTGGGTTACTCACGGACGACTCTCCTCGAAGAAGAATTCCAATGAGTGTCAATGGCAACTTTTTCCTCACAAAATATCACTTGGAGGAGTATGTCAACAATAAAGAAGATGAGGAAAATTTCAGAACAATTTTTAAAATCATTTACTCGGAAGTATTACGACAATGCAAACCAGAGGATCACCCCGTCTATTTCACATTGAACACACATTTATTGAAGTGCATCGACACAATTCGAGGTGTATTCACTTCTCTTGGTGTGAATGTAGTTAAATATGTTGACCCTATTTCTTACATTTTTGGTGACCTGAGAGAAGAAGAGAGGACCGGCCTTGTTTTGGATTTTGGGAGTTCTATTTCTCTCAAAGCAGTCGTATCTGGGGAGTGTGTCGATTATATGGAAATCGACAACCATCTTTTCGAGGTAGCTTTACATTTGCTCGAAACCAAAGGAATTAAACCAACAACGCAAAAGGCTGCGCTTTATCTCTGTGATGGGTTCTGTTCTGAAAAATTCAATGAAGACACAATTACTGTAGATAATGAAGTGATTAATGTGGATAAAGAGGATGTCCACATATTTGAAGATACAATATTTGATAACACTGCTTTTGTGGCCCTTTTTGGGGAGGTATTGAGTTCTGTTGGAATTACAAAGAAGCGTGCATTGGCAAACAAAATTTGTGTAATAGGTGGGTGCTCGTTGGAGGGTATTGAGTGTCGAGTTGAAAAGGAATTGAAAAAGGCTGCGCCCGAATTCCATTTACAGACCAGAGATTTCAAAGTTGAAAGAAAAGCGCGGACATATGATAGCTGGTGGGAAGCCACAAAGTTGTGCTTACAGTCGATGAAGGTATAACATTAGATGTTGTTTATTAATTTTAATTCATTTTCTTTACGCATTTACTCTGCTTTTTAACACCAAAAACAATAAAGTTTTATACAAAATTTGGTAAGTCGATTTGAAGGGAGTAGAAATGGATGCCCCTCCTTATTACCTTTTGATTGACACAAGGTGGAGGCAATGGACTAAATAAAAAATGTTTCCAATTCCCCCAAAAGCCTAAAGAATAGACGTTCGGCATTTTCTTTATTCTTTCATTCGTTGTTATCCTTCTTGATATTTGATACGTGTGCATCACAAGCAAATTACCGGAAAATACTATGAAAGGGAGAGTCAATGCACAAATGATCGGCCTGGTTGTGAGTACTTATTTAGTGATGATTAAAAAAGATAAACAAAACAGACTCAAAATAAAAGTGCTGTTTAAAAGCACTTTTGGCATTTTCTGTCGACCAAGGACGTTCAATCATCAAAAAACACGCAAGAAAAGAAGTGACTGCAACGTACAACAATGACGTCAACGAGAAAATGAGCATGGTGTAGAACACTCGATAATTTCGCCTTCCAACACAGTTTTTAAGAAACGGGCAATGATGGTCAAATTGATCAACACAATTATTGCATTGTCTGCAATGAATTGTTTTGGGAGGTTTGTCAAAATAACATGATTTACAATAATATAATACCACATCAGCACTTTTAAATTGGACCATCTTTGAGTCGGTCGTTAACATCATTGAATTCCGTCCCAACCCAAAGACTCTCCTTGGTACAATACCAGGGTCCATAAATGCTGCTCGAAATATGAGAATCTATAAATCAACATTTTGGTCACAATAAAAAACCAAACAAACTATTGTTGGTACAAATAGGATGATTGACAAAACAATAAAAATAGGGTGTGCCGCTGTATAAAGCCACCGAAGAGTAAACGCGGAGTGCAAAGAAGTCAACAATAAAAACACACCAATAATGATAAAAAACTGAAATGGTTGTCCCCCTCCGACTACATGCCCTTTGCAACACAACGGAACTGTTTTAGGAAAATTACCGTCGTTGGTCAACAGAAAGCGTTCTTTTTTATCTTCGAGGCGCTGTTCTTTCGAAAATTCATTTAACATGTTGATGTCTATTTTTGTTGATTCTGATATTATTGGTTGTGTTGGGCACATTTCAATTGAAGCATGTGGTGTTAGATTCATTATTGACTTAATTAGTTTCAAGTTTCATTTTTAGAGGTCGATCAATCCCTTCATATTTGTATTTTGCTTCAAAAATATTTGAAAAATACACAAAATAAACCTGGTATTCAAAGTTAATTTCTATAACATATTTGGTATTATGGCACTAAAAATAAATTAAATTACTAACGGTCAAACAAATCACCTCGAAAACACAACGCAAAGTACCCCACTCAACAAAAACACAACACCCCCACCAAAGAGAAGATAATTCCTCCACCCGCGAATTTCTGCAAAGGCTAGAATTCCCCAAAGGGTAGAAACTAACCCGGGCCCAGCAGCATTAATGGAGAAGGTGATACTCCACGGCAAATAAGTGTTGGAGAACATGAAAGCCACTTGTGCTATTTCCCACATGATTCCAGACACGATGGCGGGTAAGAAGGTTTGAGGGTACATCACTGGTGAGTCTAATGTGATGATAGCATAACAAATGATAAACACAATCGACGTTATCATAATTCCACATGCATGTGAAAAGATATACGAATACTGTTCGACAGGGCCAAGACCGTTGTCGATCATATATTGAGGTGGTGTGAAGTTGGATCCAAAGAACAATCCAGCACAGAGTGCCAAAACAATCCCACACAATCGTCTTGCCAATGGATTCATTGTATCGAGAAAGTCAAATATATTTCCCTCTTTGGTTTCTTTGAGGGGTTCTCCTTTCTTCTCGATTTCGGCTGTTTCAATCGCAACTTCTGTGTCCTTAGGTATCAAATTCTCCTTTTCTTTGACCACTTCCACACTTTTCTTCTCTTCTTTCACTTCTGCTGGTTTGGTTCCTGAAACGTTCGACTTGATAAATCCATAAAATGGGACACTCAAACATGCGAAGCACGCACCAACGATGTTCAGTGGTTGATTGGCAACAGTCTGTGGATTGAGGCCAAACAACCCAAACGTCCCAGTGAACCATCCCATTGCTAAATTGGTGATTCCCCACAGCGAAATACCAAGGGATATCCCAATCATTCTGATGATGGGGACGGTCATTAAATTGCCAAAAGCCCATATCATTCCACCAATCATCGCAAAAGGGTAGAACACGTGTGTTGGGTTTGTCACAAACTCGAGGAAGATGGAAGTGAGCTATTCGTTATGTGTTTCGCAATTTTTGAGTTTTTTCAAAGAATGTCTCAAGCCAATTGAAGATTGTAAAAAGCTTTGGTTTTCAGCTCAAAACAAACGAAAATCCCAACAGAAAGTGCAAACTGGAAGAACAGCCCATCGCCCGTCGGAAACTTCTTTACGACGACATAGTTGCTCCCAAAGAAAACAACAGAGACAAAGCAACAGAAATACGCCAACAAAGTGGTCTGCCAGGAGACATCCATTGATCGGAATTCACAGTTCAGTTTTAAACGTACGTATAAATGAGATATTTGTAAGCCTTGTTTTGCAGGCGACTTCGGGAAGATGGTATAAGGGATAGTATATGAGCGATACAACTGTTGTATGTATTAAATTGTTTAATACATTTAATTATTATGATATTAATAGCAAAGAACTTGAAGCATTATGTTTTTGGTCGATCGACAATGAATAAATGGAATTGGGAAGAAAAAACAGAATACTTTTATTATCACCTTTTTATTTACTAATCCTTTGTATGTAAAAACATTTAAAATGTATCACAAATACACAATGACAGTACCGAAAATGTTGAAATGTTATAACAAAAAGTAAAAAAGGGTTGTTTTTCACAATCTTTGTTCACTAATTGGTATCACTTTACTCAATAAAACAAGTTTTTCAAACTTTTGATAATCACAGAAATTGACTGCTGTTGTTAATGTAATGCAAAAATAACAAATTTAATTGAAGAACATCTAAAAATGTAAGCCGACTATTTTGTAATCAAAATAATGACCATGAAAACTTTCATTTTTGGATCATAAAAATAATTAATAAGACAAGCATTCAGAATCTAATCTATTAATATAATCACTTAAATTAAAAAGTTGTAGCAACTTTATTATAAATGAATAATTATTATCAAAAAGTAAATGCTATGACTTTAACTTGTTGTAGCAAATATAATGCTTAAACATAACTGGGATTGCATATGCAGACATTTGCACTGTATTACACCCTTCAGAATTATTATTATTTAACAGAACTCCCTCCAAACAAAACATTCCTGTCATTAAGTAAAAAGTACAAGGATGGGCATGCTGACATCATTACAAATAACTTAAAAGCCCAGTTCCTCAAGAAAAAGACGTTTGAGATATTCAAGTCACTTTTGCTTTTCCATGTGATCTCAAAGTCAGACGTATCAATCTTTTATAATTTCCAAACCGTTTTTTACCAAGACCCTATCACTCTGAAAGATGCCTACAACCCAGACATTTCTAACCTCTCTTACTGGGGAGAGTTGTACTCAAATGAATTGCAACAGACACTTCTTTACCATAAGAAATACACTTTTTTAGATGGGAATTACAGAATCACAATGGGGGAATGTCTCCCTCTCAAATACCGAAATGTAGCCGAAATGGAGCAGTTGGAAGTTGAGACTTTTTCCCTTTATGCGTATTTTGAAGCATTCGTGTCACATTTTTTTAAAACAGACACAACAAACCCTTATCTCCAAAAAGCTGTTTTTCTTTCCTTCAATGACTTGGCACAAATATTTGAACTTCTTGTCAAGGTGGAAAATTACGTTTCTCTGATTAAAATGTCAAAACTCAATGTCGAGAAGTTAAACGAGTGCAGACAACGAATAAAAACCCATAAGCAGTTGTTCACCAAAAAGAAATACCAAACAAAACACTTTTTAAAAATAGCACATGTTGTTGACTACAAAAAGGACAAGACTCAGTTACAGAACTTTCTTGTCGAGTTTCCAATTCCTGAGTTATTTACTGAAAATGTACAAAGAAACGTTGTCACTTTAGTCTCAACAAAACATTCCAAAGAAGTTGTAAACGAAGAAGACAACAACACTTTACATTACAGTCTTCTTATTATTGATTA